GTGAAGGCAAAAGAGTCTCATATCGATGAAAGGAAAACCCTTGCACAATCTGTTGAAATTTATATATTATAATATTAATAATTATAATATTTAAATCAAAATATTGAATGAAAAATGCATAACCGTTTGAAAGGGATCAAGGCAATCATTGGTAAACGGTATCATCTAATAGATGAATGTTTGCATCTCTTAATCAACCAGTATCTTAGGTTTTATATAAACTCACGTCAGTATAGTCGTAAGATTATTATGAGAAGTGTTTTTCTCTAAGGTCTTTTATTCTTGGTTAGTCAAATTCCGAGCCGTGTCTTGAGAGTATGGAATATATGAAGTTCGTTAGAGTCTGATGATTGAAGTGCTTTGACTTCAGATTATAAATTATTGAATCCTGGGAGACGGATGCCTACCGAACTATAAGCACAAGAGTAGGGGCAAAATTCTGTTTTTAAGACATTGCATTTATGCAAGCCTCAATCTCCAAGTTTGTTAGTTTTTTCTAACTTTCTCTCTAGTTGTTTATATTAATTTTGTACACGTGATGTTGTGAATTTCTTTATGATTATTATTATTGGAATTCTTTTATATTTCTCATATTTTCTAATATTGCTCCAACACAATCATGCCTTATATGTGCAATTTTCAGTCCCAATCAAAATTAGTAAGGTCTCTAAATAACCTATAATAAATTGACATGTGTAAAATAAATTAATTAATAATTAAAAGATACAAGGTCGGTTCGTACGTGCCCGTGTTCACGGTCTATTGGTTTTTCTGTTCTCGTGTAGGAAGGAGGGATTGGCATATCTAACTAGTCCTAGCAAAGAGCGGTATTGACCCATCTATTCTAGCAAACCAAGGGAGACCCAAGCAGCAAGAACACGAGGGGATCTTGCCGATTCTGATTAACCTGCGGAAAATTGGGATACTTCGAAACAATTATTATTGTGCAAGCCATAGGCATTGCTGCATATTCATATGTATTCAACCGGACTTAATTTGAAATACAAGTTTTTATAAAAATTATAAGATCATCTGAACTTTTTCTAACAATATTAAATCCATACTTTCGCTAAATTCTTTAGGATCATTAGAATGCATCGAGACTTTATCTCCATTTCTTAGAAAAATACCACTGCTTACATCTTTAAGGGTAGCCAACCTGGCTTTCTAACAAGCTTAGTAATAGATCGAGATATTTTAGATGAATTCTCTCAAAATCACAGGGGAGAGGTGAAATTTGTAAATGCTAAAAATACGTTACAAATTAGTCCAATTCCCTCAAATCAGAGATATTTCGTAGTGGATTTTTTAGCATTCACAAATCTCACATTCCTTTAAGATTTTGAAGAATTTCACTCAAGATTTTAAATGAAAATATCTAAAAATTAAACTCTATCAAAATCCATAAATTTAGACAAACCAATGAAGACTTCAAAATCAACATCGAGTCATCAACCCATAAAAGCATTCTCACAATTCCACAATGTCATGGATAAATCCAATTATATCATTAGTATCGTCTCAAGTGATAAATTTCCACTTGCTTTGTAATTGCCTCTAGGCTATTGTAAATTTGTGATTAGGGGTTGTCAAGGGACTTACCTACACTCTTATTTAATATTTTTTGTTGATTTTATTGAAAATATTCAATTTTATGATAGGAAATTTTAAAAAGATATTGATAATTTAATTAAAATTAATATGTGTAGAGAGTAAAAGAGATGTACAAAGAGATTATTATATGAGTTCAAATAAAACGGCATATGTCTAGGAGATAAAAAATGTGTATTTATCTTTTTCATATTCACTTATCTTTGAAAAAAGAAAAGAAAAAAAAATGGAGAAAAAAACCAAGACTCTGAAATCTATAAGTTAACAAGTCAACCCAAAAATATCACAATTCCACAACGTGGCTCATCTCCTCTAGCCCCTGCTGAATGATACATTTATAATGGCCCGAAGACTTTAATGCCAATCCCAGAGAGCACATAGTCAAGCCGCCAATACCTGAGGCCTTTTTTCCAACGGAAAATTCTATTTTAATCCTTGTCTAAGATTACTTTTTGAATAAAATGTTGTCAAAGATTAAAAATTAATTCTAATACTTGGCATTTAATTGTAATTTTTGAATAGTAAATAGGTTGTAATAATTATTGAGTTTTTTGTTTGTAGGTTATACATTGATTTCCCATAAATAATAAAAATGTTATTTATCATATATTTTTTTATTGTGTGTAAATTTCTCCATACTTATGTATATGCATATTGCATACATATGTATGTTTAGATACTATAATTACTTAGCGATACATTTGTACCAACACAATCATATTGATATATTCGTATCGAAAGTTATGTACTGATACAATTGTACTGAAACTTACGTACCAATACTTCTATACCTATGAGTAAAATAACGTACCTAAAGTTATGTACTGATACATTCGTACCGAAACTTATGTACCAATACTACTGTACCTATGAATAAAATAAGGTACCGAAAGTTATGTATAAATTTTTTTTTTTTTTTGTTGAATTTTTTAATAATAAGAATTTGTTTTTTTTAATTAAATTTTTATCTATTAATATGATTGGAGCACAAAAAAGTACATTTATTATGGATGGGTAAAGAATTTCGAATGGTAACAGAAATAACAAATGTGTTCTAATTACTCATAGGTTTCGGAAGTATCAGTACATAAGTTTCGGTACGAATGTATCAGCACATAACTTTAGGTACTTTATTTTACTCATAGGTATAGAAGTATCGGTACGTGATTTTCGGTACAAAATGTATTAGTACATAACTTTCGGTACGAATGTATCAATACAAATGTGTTGGTACAAATGTATCAATAAGTAATTATAGTATCTAAATGTACAAATGTATGCAATATGCATATACATACAAAAAAATATATGATAAAATATGATAAATAACATTTTTATTATTTATGGGAAATCGATGTATAACCTACAAACAATTCAATAATTATTACAACCTCTTTGATATTCAAAAATTACAATTAAATGCCAAGGATTAGAATTAATTTTTAATCTTAGACAAGGTTTTATTCAAAAAGTAATCTTAGACAAGGATTAAAATAAAATTTTATCGGCTAAATTGACGCTTTGAAGCTGTTGAAGATCAAAGAGGCTGCTCAAATTGTCAATCCCACCGGAGATAGATTGGTTGCTAATGTCAAGACCAACAACATGTCCATTAGTATTGCAAGTAACACCGAACCAAGAACGACAATCGGTACTTGAATTCCATGATATGAACTTGGGTGGGGGAGTAGCTTCCAACTGGGGATCATAGAATGTAAGGGTTTTCTTGAGATTGAGCAACAACAGTTGCTGTTGTTGAATACATTGGTTGTGAACGGCAGGGATGGTATTAGCACAGGTAGTAGTCATGGTGGAGATATTGAACAAGAATAGGAGGAAGAAATATTGGACCAAAGTTTTCATTTTTTAGACACTTAATTTGCTAAGCTTAATTAGCAGAGAAAGTAATAAAAAACAATTGGACAACTGAGAACGGTTTAGGAACGGCCATTGGCCAGCGAATTGGAAAAACGGAAAATTCTATTTTAATCCTTGTCTAAGATTACTTTTTCAATAAAACCTTGTCTAAGATTAAAAATTAATTATAATTCTTGGCATTTAATTGTAATTTTTGAATATCAAAGAGGTTGTAATAATTATCGAGTTTTTTGTTTGTAGGTTATACATTGATTTCCCATAAATAATAAAAATGTTATTTATCATGTATTATCATTTTTTTTTTTTATGTATTTGCATATTACATACATTTGTATATCTATTTGTATGTTTAGTTACTGTAGTTACTTATCGATACATTTGTACCAACACATTTGTATCGATACATTTGTACCCAAAGTTATGTACTGATACATTTGTACCGAAAATTACGTACCGATACTGCTATACATATGAGTAAAATAAGGTGCCTAAAGTTATGTACTGATACATTCGTACCAAAACTTATGTACTGAGACTTTTGAAACCTATGAGTAATTATAACACATTTGTTATTTCTGTTACCATTCAAAATTCTTTACCAATCCATAACAAATGTACTTTTTTGTGCTCCAATCATATTAATAGATAAAAATTTAATAAAAAAAACAAATTCTTATTATTAAAAAATTCAACAACAAAACAAACATAATTTATACATAACTTTCGGTACCTTATTTTATACATAGATACGGAAATATCGGTACATAAGTTTCGGTACGAATGTATCAGTACATAACTTTAGGTATGTTATTTTACTCATAGGTATAAAAGTATCGGTACATAAGTTTCGGTACAATTGTATCAGTACATAACTTTTGGTACGAATGTATCGATACAATTGTGTTGGTACAAATGTATCAATGGGTAATTATAGTATCTAAACATACATATGTATGTAATATGCATATACATAAGTATGGAGAAATTTACACACAATAAAAAAATATATGATAAATAACATTTTTATTATTTATAGGAAATCAATGTATAACTTACAAACAAAAAACTCAATAATTATTACAACCTATTTGCTACTCAAAAATTACAATTAAATACCAAGGATTAGAATTAATTTTTAATTTTAGACAAGGTCTTATTCAACAAGTAATCTTAGACAATGATTAAAATAGAATTTTCCGCAATATAAGTAGCTATGGCTCTCGCATTCCATCTGCAATTGGAAAGCTTACAAACTTAAGGTACCTAAATTTATCATATAGCTATTATGACTATGAGAGGAAAATTCCAGTTGAGATTTCACAATTGAGAAGGTTGGCTATCCTTGATATTTCTCAATCTTACAATCAAGGGTGCACGCCACTTAAGAGCCCTAATTTAAACATGCTCTTTCACACAACCTCACAGATCTCACAGAGCTATATCTTGATGGTGTGGATATATCAGAACAGAGGATTGAGTGGTGTCAAGCGATATCATTGTTACTCCCAAACATGAGGGTGTTGAGCTTGTCTAACACTCTTCTTTCAGGTCTTGCTGATCAGTCCCTCGCCAAGCTACAGTCTCTATCCGTGATTCAATTGGATGGTAATCATATCTCGGGTCCAATTCCAGGATTTTTTGCCAACCTTTCAAACCTGAGGGAGTTCAGCTGGAATGCTAACAATGTCTTCGCTCCATTTCCAGGATTCTTTGCGAATTTTTCAAAGTTGACTTCCTTGAGTCTCTCCTATTGTTCGTTGCAAGGTATATTTCCCAAAGAGATCTTTCAGGTACCTTTCAGGTACCTACTCTGAAAATTATTGACCTTCAGGTAATGAAGAATTTCATGGTTCCTTGCCGCAATTTCCATACAATGGATCTTTTCAGTCCCTGGTTATAAGGTTCACAAATTTTTCAAGGTTATTGCCGGGCTCTATTGGAAACCTCAAGCATTTGGAGAGAATTGATCTTTTCAATTGCAGTTTCACTGGATCAATTCCAAAATCAATGGAGGATCTAACACAATTTGTTTATTTGGAAATGTCCTCAAACCTGTTCAATGGTGCAATTATTTCTATACAATGGGAAAATGTTATTAATCTAGCAGAGCTTCATTTGGCTGACAATCTACTTGAAGGGAGTATTCCGCCGTCTCTCTTTTTTCTTCCCTTGTTGCAAGAATTAGTACTTTCCCAAAATCGATTCTCTGGTCAACTCGATGAGTTTTCTTACGCCTTTTCCAACTTGGCTACCCTTATTTGAGTTATAATAATTTGGAAGGTCCAATTCCATCGTCTATGTTTTCTTTCCCCTTGGTCCAATTCCGTTGTTCTCAGTTGTCCAATTGTTTTTTTATTACTTTCTCTGCTAATTAAGCTTAGCAAATTAAGTGTCTGAAAAATGAAAACTTTGCTCCAATATTTCTTCCTCCTATTCTTGTTCAATATCTCCATTATCACCACTACATGTGCTAATACCACCCCTGCAGTTCACCACCATTGTATTCAACACCAGCAACTGTTATTGCTCAATCTCAAGAAAACCCTTACATTCCATGATCCCCAGTTGGTAGCTACTCCCCCACCTAAGTTCATGTTATGGAATTCAAGTACTGACTGTTATTCTTGGTTCGGTGTTACTTGCAGTACTAATGGACATGTTGTTGGTCTTAGCATTAGCAACCAATCTATCTCCAATGGGATTGACAATTCCAGCAGTCTCTTTGATCTTGAGCATCTTCAAACCCTCAATTTAGCCGATAAAAAATTTAGCTATGGCTCTCACATGGATAAAAAATTTAGCTATGGCTCTCACATTCCATCGGCAATTGGAAAGTTTACAAACTTGAGGGAGTTCAGTTGGGATGGTAACAATGTTCCTACTCCGTTTCCAGGATTCTTTGTGAATTTTGCAAAGTTGACTTCCTTGAGTCTCTCCGGTTGTTCGTTGCGAGGTACATTTCCCAAAGAGATCTTTTAGGTACCTACTCTGCAAATTATTGGCCTTTCATTTAATGAAGAACTTCATGGCTCCTTGCCGGAATTTCCAAACAATGGATCTCTTCAGTCCTTGGTACTACACGCCACAAATTTTTCAAGGTTATTGCCGGGCTCTATTGGAAACCTCAAGCATTTGGAGAGAATTGATCTTTTCAACTGCAATTTCACTGGATCAATTCCAAAATCAATGGAGAATCTAACACAATTGGTTTATTTGGACATGTCTTCAAACCTGTTCAACGGTGCAATTAGTTCTATACAATGGGAAAACCTTATTAATCTAGCAGATCTTCATTTGGCCGACAATCTACCTGAAGGGAGTGTTCCGCCATCTCTCTTTTCTCTTCCCTTGTTGCAAGAATTAGTACTTTCCCAAAATCAATTCTCAGGTTAACTCAGTGAGTTTTCTAACGCCTCTTCCAACTTGGTTACCCTTGATTTGAGTTATAATAATTTGGAAGGTCAAATTTTGTCGTCTCTGTTTTCTTTCCCCTTGGTGCAAGAAATTGTGGTTTTCAGTAATCATTTCTCTAGTCAACTCAGTGGGTTTTCTAATGTCACGTCCAACTTAGTTACCCTTGATTTGAGTTTTAATAATTTGGAAGGTCCAATTCCTTTGTCTATCTTTAATTTTCAGGGGCTTGAGCAGCTCTCTTTGTCGTCAAACAATTTCAGTGCCTTTCCTTTCAATAGTCCTCATCATCTAAAAAATCTGACCAATATTGATCTTTCGTACAATAGCTTGCAGATTTTGTACAATGGTACCAATTCCTCATACTCCTCATTTCCTCAAATTGGTGCACTGAATTTGGCTTCTAACAAGTTGACAAAAAGACCAGGTTTCCTAAGAAACCAATCCAAATTATCTTATTTGGACCTTTCAAAAATCATATTCAAGATGAGATACCCAATTGGATTTGGTTATTTTTTTTCCCTAAATCTTTCTTGTAACTCCCTCGTAACTCTTGAAGTTCCTTTTAATAATCCTACTGCGGGGGAGATTGATATTCATTCAAACCAACTCCAAGGCGAAATCCCTTACACATTCGGAAATGTCTATTACCTAGATTGCTCCAGCAATCATTTCTCCAGTAGTATTCCAGCTGACATAGGCCTTTTCTGTTGGGACATTAAGTTTTTATCTCTTTCAAACAATAACTTGCATGGCATCATTCCAGAATCAATATGCAATGGAGTTCTTGACGTTATTGATCTGTCCAATAATTCCTTGAGTGGCAAGGTTCTTCAATGTTTGTTTACAGAAATGAGTCTGGGAGTACTTAATTTGAGGAGAAACAACCTCACCAGAACTATTTCAAATTTTGAGTTTTTAGAATCAAGTGAATTGCACACTTTAGACCTTGGGGAAAATCGGATGAGTTTCCAAAATCTCTAGCCAACTGCACATCATTAGAGGTTTTAAACCTTAGAAACAATCAGATAAAAGATGCCTTTCCTTGTTTTTTGAAGAAGATATCCACTTTGCGTGTTCTTCATTTGCAGTCCAACAAATTTTATGGAGGCATTGCATGTCCCAAAACCAATGGCACTTGGCCAGTGCCTCAAGTCATAGACCTAGCTCACAACAATTTGAGTGGTGAAATACCGAGAAGATCTTTGACAACATGGCTGGCAATGAGGGCTAATGCAGATGATTCCCTTGGCAAGGCCAGACACCTAGAATTTTCAGGTAAAGGAGGGAGAGCGGGGGTTGGTTTTTCTTTTCACGATGGTATAACAATTACCGGAAAAGGTTCAAGGATGGATATGGTTAAGATTCTAACTATCTTGACCTTGGTTGATTTCTCAGGCAACAATTTCAATGGGCCAATACCTAAGGAAATGGGAGAGTTTAAGTCACTGTATTTCCTTAACTTGTCTAGTAATTCTTTCACAGGCAAAATCCCAATGTCATTCGGCAACATGCATCAACTCGAGTCGTTAGACCTCTCATAGAACAAACTAAGCAGGGAAATTCCACTACAGTTGGCAAAGCTTAATTTCCTTGCATTCTTGAATCTTTCAAATAATCAACTTGTCGGCAAGATCCCAACTGGTACCCAAATTTCAACATTTCCAAAAGAATCATTTACGGGTAACAAAGGATTATGGGGCCTCCACTGACAATTAATAACAATGCAGGATTGTCACCACCACAAGCAAATGGAAACCATCCAAATTCTAGAGATGAGATTGATTGGGATCTTATCAGTGTGGAAATTGGATTTGTGTCTGGCTTTGCAGTTGTTCGTTGGGTCACTTGTGTTGTGCAAGCGATGGAGTAAATGGTATTACAGGACTATGTATAAAATCCTTGTTAAGATATTCCCTGAGCTTGAAGAAAGAATTGATCCTCACAGAAGGCACGTTCACATAAATAAGAGGTGGTGAAGTTGGAATGTTCACATAAAGCGTTTCGGGGTAACGTAACTAGTAAACCCTCAGGAAACACAACTCCTCCTACTAGGGACACCTAGAGGTTTAAAGGCTTGTTACACATGCTCAATGTAATTGTTTCGCCAGCGAAAGTGAGCCTTGATTTTTGCTTTTTGTTTTAGTTAATTTCTTGTTTTTGTTCAATGTTTTACTCGAGGACTAATAAAAGATAAGTTGGGTTGTATATTTTGTATTTCTTTTTATCTATAAAAGTAGCTTTGATTTTATGTTAAATTGCTGAAATAATTTGTTTTATATGAGTTATGTAGAAAAGATAATCTGTGAACAAAGCATGGAATTTGAGTCAAATTGGAGAAACACAACGAATCACCGAGTGGACCGTGAGCTGTGATGGGCTGGAGCAATTCAACATGAAGTGGTGCAACTTTAGAGGAATTGGATCACTGAAGTTTAGCCCAATTAAAGATGGCTGCTGTTCATGTTTCCTAAAAATAATGGGATTTGGATCACTCAAATCATTAGTAACACAAACAAAAAACCGACTATTACTTCATTCAATATCAAGAAGAAAACATCACCCTTCTTGGTGACAAATGTTTTTGATAGGCATGCTTACATGCATAAACATCGGACAGAAGAAACAGATAACCCAATCACAACTGGTTCATACTTACAGGAAAGAAATATCAGATAACCCAATCACAACTGGTTCATACTCGCAGGAATGAAATGAAATTGCAAATCGGAGAGAAGAAACAGAAAACACAAACACCCACCATTGATTTGAGCTTATAACAACACAAGAAAGTATCAAATCTGTGGCATAGCTTAACAAGATTTAATAGACAAAGCATAGGACGAGCAGATTCTAACATGTTCGATTTGCAGAGGATGTTGTTGTCTTCCTAATGATATCTCTCAGCTAGTAATACCAAAACAGCCATATGACTGTTCTAAGATCCTACATGCACATTACGCAGTAGTGCATTAAGAAAAATACATATATACATACATATATGTTTTCTCATTTCCGATATACAAATTAAATCAGGAAATGTTTATTGAAAACTTCAAGCTATGTCAATAGTCAATACTAGTTCATCTTATATTTACAGAGGAAAAGAGAGAAAAGCGATTTTCTGATCTGAGCTTATTTGTAATGATGACTGCAATTGCGATTCAGACTGTAGTTGGACTTGCGCTTTAAAATTGAATCAGCCATGCAATTAAACGCCACAAAACCAAGATTCTTCATCGGAACTCAAAGCTAGATTACCGAAACTGGTTCGCCAAGAACCCTAACCAAAACTGAAAATTAATTTACCAAAATTTTAGCATACCTAGCTTCCAATGACGATTACGGTTGCGATAGATTGTGGAATCAAGCTCGAAGAATCGGCGATGCAGATCGTAGAATAAGCTTGAAAAATCGGAGATGCAGATCGTAGAATAAGCAATCAATTACTTCACTCAATCTAAAAACCCATTAATATGAACTTAATTTCAAGTTTTAAGATCTACAATCTCAATACCCTGTTTTCCTTGTTTGAGATAGACTGGGAAAGACAGGGGTGCGCCTGGTTTACTGCCGTCGGCTGGAAAAAACTGAATAAGCTAATAGGGATAGTTAGGGGAAAATGGTGGGAGGGAAGATAGTTTTAGATTTTTAGAAAACTTTTATAGTGTACGGGATTATAATGGGGTGGGAAAATAAGAAAACGAGATGAGTTTAGTAGTACCTTTTTTATTTTTTTATTTTTTGAATGATCATTTGATTGTATTTAAATAGATGCAAATTTGTTTTATGTTGTCACTAAAAAGTTATGCACTGAAATAAATTCTTTTTGGATTGTGTACGGAAAGAAATCTTAAGAAATTTATGAAAGAAATCCTCATAAATCCATAAAAATCTATAATAAGAAGACATGTAAATCTACCAAAATCTATATAAAATAGTAAAATCTATTAAAACTCTCTCAAATTAGTCACCTTTTTAGATTCGGTAGACTTCCAATCAAGAAATTCAACAGAATTTAGGGGGGAATCCATTTTCCTATACAACCCATATATGAATTTGGGTGGTGATACCATACACTCATTTTTGCTTTCCACACATTTCTTGTTAATTTTCGTTCTTTAATTTTTTTTAATTCATTCAATTCAATAGTTGAAAATTAAAAAGATGCGTTGATATCACCACTATTTTATTGACGACTATGGTGGGTTCGCATAACAGAGATTTCTCTTGCGGAAGCAAGCCCAAATGGGCTTCAAGACCGAGATAATGGCAGCTGCCTAGCGGCACCGACCGACATAGACCGTACTAGCAATCATGGCCCGCATGTAGATCATGCCAATGGGCCATGTGACTGCCCAGATAGTGACATCCCGAATGGGCCACGTGAAGATCAAGCCGCCGCACATAGTACAGCCTAAATAGGTTTAATGGTGACGGCCCAAATGGGCCACGTGAAGATCAAGCCGCTGCACCGTTTTCACCATTCTCTGGTGGGATAATTAATGTCGGCCCAAGTGGGCCTGGATTGGAGACAGCTGCTAAACCGAGAGCCCAAACGTCTGGGATTGTTCATCCTAGGGGTGGGCAAACGAATATAGGAACCGCAGATCGAGGTGGATAATTAAGGTTCGGAAAGGGTATGGGCCGGTTCCTATTTTAAAAAAGAGAAACAAGACGGGCCGCGGCTAGCCTTTGAGATTTTGGGTTAGAGCCGGTTCCTCAAGTATAGGAACCGCGGATACCTGGACCGGTCTGTTTGTAATTGAAATGGACAAACCAAATTGATGAATAAGCTACCATCTCTAATCTAAACCGTTAGTTTTAGTTTTACCCTAGGTTCTCTATCCCTCTCTCTCGTCTCAACTCTCACTTTCACTCTCAAACTCTCAATCTCTCAACAGCTCGACTCCTCTCGACTCCAATCATCCCTCCTCACAGTGTTCACCAACCGTCGATTCTCCTCGGCGAACACAACAGCACCACCCATCATCCTACTCGACAACATCCTAGAGAACCCAGGCCATCACCCTCGCCGTCGATTCTTTCATCTTCGATAGCAACCCCTGCTGTCACGACCGCCATCACCCCATCCATCACTGTCGTCAAGGACACTGGTACCAGCCATCATCCCTCTAAAATTTAGGTAATTTTGAATTAGGGTTTTGTTATTAATTTGAATTTCGGGTGTAGGGATTTTAGGGTTTTTAAATTGGAATTTGGGATTTTAGGGTTTTCGAACTAGGTTACTATAGTTAATTTTGCAGTAATTTGGCAAGCTTTGATGCCTTCTAACTTCTAAGTTCTTAAGGAAATTAAATACTAGATAGTGTGAGTCTATACATTTCTTCTTCCTTTTGAGTTGAGTTGGATGCAAAAACTGGTCAAAATCTTGGCCTGCATCAGCATCACAATCATTTTTCATGGAGCTTTCAAGCCCCATTCTGAGTTTGACAATATTTACAGATATTTATTCGTATTTGCAATTTTTTCCCCTTTTAATTTCATATTATTATTATTCTGTATGTTAGGCTTGGTGGCAAAGATAGTGATCAATATCGATCTAGGGTGCACGATGATCGAACTAGGGTTCATGATCCTATAAAAGCAGAGCTAAAAAAAATCAGACACAAAAACGAGCTCAAGCTGTAATGTTCAGACTGTGTGACCACTACTGAAGAAATGAAAACTATGGATTGGAAACCGTGTTTTTGCTCTCAGGAATCTCATAAACACTTTCACAGTTTCACCTATGAAGTTTAAACTTTAACATGCTTATGTAATGTTTTGAAAAATAGGGATATTGATAAAGATATAGTTTGTAGTTTTTGGGGTTAATGAGGTTCTAGAAGTCTATCTACATAAAGGAAAGATATTATTCTCATTAATAATACCTCTATTTCCTAAATATCATTTATCATACAGTTTTATTGTAAATTTCCCAAGTGTTCCTGAAATTGAAGCTCATCAAACAACTTGAACGAATAAAGGAAAAGGAATTGCAGTAATATTTTAAACTCAAACGAATAAACTTTAATTTCAATGATTCAATGAGGATAATATGATGTTGGAAGTTAAAAATGTCATGTTTATATTCTATTTTTGCTTACAGATTCAATGAGGATTGTTGTTGGAACTTGGACGTTGGATGTGGTTTTGGATGTTAATTTGGAATTTATTGTGGATGTCATGTCTATGTTGTTTTGGATTATTTGATTTTTAGACTTTGAAATTTGGATGTCTTGGACTTTCGGATATTTTGCATGTTGATTTGATTTTTAGAGTTTGGACAATGTAATATTGTTATTTTGGATGTATTGTTAATCTATGAACTTGGATGTTGGACTTTGTATTTAGATTGGATGTGTGTCACATCCCGGCCCAGGGCGGATCACTTCCCGGGCCCGCTCCACCACCGTAGCACGATATTGTCCGCTTTGGGCCCCCAGCACACCCTCATGGTTTTGTTTTTGAGAACTCACACGAGAACTTCCCAATGGGTCACCCATCCTGGGAGTGCTCTTGCGCGCTACTCGCTTAACTTCGGAGTTCCTACAGAACCCGAAGCCAATGAGTTCCCAAAAGGCCTCGCGCTAGGTAGAGATGAGATATACATATAAGGATCACTCCCCTGGGCGATGTGGGATGTTACAATGTGAATAATGGTGAATTTGTGCAAAATCTGCATAAATGCAGTCTATGACTCTATGCAGTTGCAATCTATGCAGTTTGCAATCTGTGAAAATTTTATTATTTTTTTTCCAAACAAAAAAAAAAGGACCTGTGGATCCAGCCTGAACCGGCCCATTTCAACCGGCCCGGATAAGGTCTGGTTCCTATATT